TGCGCGAGTGGTTTGCTAGGCGTTGGAGCCGTGCTGCTGGAGCTGGAGGTGCTGCTGGAGGTGGAGGTTCTACTGCTACTGAGGGTGCTGGTGCCACGGGTCCCGGAGGTGCTCATACTGGAGGTACTAGAGCTGCTAGGCCTGGGGGTGCTCCTTGTACAGGAGCTGGCGGTGCTTCTGGAGCGGGTGCTGCTAGAGGTGCTGGAGCTCGGGCTGTTGAGTCTTTCGGTGGTCCGGCTGGAGCTGGAGCTGCTGGGAGTGTTGGAGCTGGCGGTGCTGCTGGCGCTGGTGCTTCTGAGGGTGCTGGAGTTGGCGGTGCTGCAGCTGAGGGTGCTACTGGTGCTGGTGCTGCCGCTGGGGGTGCTGGTGCTGTCCCTGCTGGCTCTGGAGGCGCTGCGCGGCCACGGCCGTACTTTGTTCCGCTCCTTGAGCAGGTTCTTGGTCTCCCGCCTTCTGCTGGTCCTGCTCGTTCCTTAGAGTGTCCGCCGCCTGTCCAATATTAGTCGCAATTACAGCCCGCCTCCCGACTGCCTGCTCCTTCTCCCTACACTGGTCCTACTGGAGGTCTTGCTGAGCGTCGTGAGCCTGCGTCTCGTCCTGCGTTGCCTGTTCGTGCTGCTCGCACTAGTCAACGTGTTCCGCGTCCGCGTCCTCCTGCGGTCCCGGGCACACACCAGATGGCACTGCGTCCTTCCACAGCTCCACTGTGTTTCCCTTTGCCGTCTCCTCCAGAGTCCTCTCTTCCTGCTCTTGCTGACCCGGAGTCTGACTCCCTTTGTGCGGCCAGTCCTACTGTCATGCGTCTCTTGGATACTGCTGTCACTGACCCTTCCTTTGAGTCCACTGCTGCGTCTGCCTTAGTTGCTGAGCTTGTCGACTTTGCTGCTCGCTGTCGTCTAGACTACGCTGCTAGTCTTGTTGCTGAGTCTGAGTCTGTCTGTCCTCCAACCGCCGGGGGTGAGTGTGCTCTTAGCACAGACGTTCTTGAGGACAGGCTGGAGGAGTTCCAGTGTCTTGCTGCTGCTTAACATCATCTCGTGTCCATGCTGATTGCCCCTGAGGGAGACCCGGATGCACTAGACATCCCGACTCCGCCCAATTATGCAGAGGCGATAGAGGGTCCCTACTCCTCACAGTGGCAGTCAGCCATGGACGTAGAGATGGCTTCCTGGAAGTCCACAGGCACCTACGTCGACGAGGTTCCCCCACCTGGGGCGAACATCGTCAGTGGCATGTGGATTTTCAGGGTGAAGCCGCCGCCGGGTTCTCCGCCTGTCTTCAAGGCGTGTTATGTGGCTCGAGGCTTCAGTCACCGGTAGGGAGTTGACTACTTTCAGACCTTCTCTCCCACCCCGAAGATGACCACTCTTCGGGTGCTGCTGCACATAGCTGCTCAGCGCGACTACAAGCTTCACTCTCTTGACTTCATCACTGCTTTCCTACAGGGCAGCCTGCACGAGGAGATCTGGCTGCGCCGCCCTCCTGGCTTCACTGGGTCGTTTCCTCCTGGTACCCAGTGGAGCCTCTGGCGGCAAGTCTACGGTCTCTGCCAGGCGCCCCGTGAGTGGCACGACACACTGAGGACTACACTTGCGGCTCTTGGGTTTGCTCCTTCTACTGCCGACCCGTCGCTCTTTCTACGCACCGACACCTCTTTGCCACCGTTCTACATCCTCGTGTACGTCGACGACTTGGTCTTTGCTACTGCTAACACTGCTGGACTCGCCCACGTGAAGTCCGAGCTGCAGAAGATACACATGTGCACAGATCTGGGTGAACTGTGTAGCTACCTTGGCTTGCAGATCACCCGGGACAGAGCACAGCGCACCATTACCCTGACTCAGTCACACATGGTGCAGCAGGTCCTTCAGCGCTTCGACTTCACGTACTCCTCGCCTCAGGCCACTCCTCTGTCTACTCGCCACTCGCTCTCAGTTCTGTTTTTGGATGACTCCGTAGAGCCGAGTGGCCCGTACCCAGAGCTTGTTGGCTGCCTCATGTACCTGATGACCTGCACTCGACCTGACCTTGCATACCCTCTTAGCATCTTGGCACGCTATGTTGCTCCTGGGAGACACTGACCAGAGCACATGGCTGCAGCGAAGAGGGTGTTGCACTACTTGTGCAGTACGCCGGGCATGGGGCTCGTGCTTGGAGGGCGGCGTTCAGTGGTCCTCACTGGTCACGCAGACGCTTCTTGGGCTAACAACCAGGCTACGCAGCGGTCGTCACATGGTTACACCTTCAGCCTTGGTTCCGGCTCTGTTTCGTGGCGGTATACCCGCTCGTTCTCTGTTCTCGGCTCCAGCTATGAGGCTGAGATCTACGCAGGGGCCATGGCTGCACAGGAGCTACGCTGGCTCACCTACTTGCTGACTGACCTAGGAGAGCCGCCTCGTTCTCCTCCAGTTCTGTACGTAGACAACAAAGCCATGCTGGCCTTGTGTCGGGATTACAGACTAGAGCACAGAACGAAGCACATTGCTCTTCGCTACTTCCTTGCTCGTGAGCTGCAGCAGCGTGGTCAGCTGCGCCTTGCTTACGTGGCCTCTCAGGCCAACACTGCTGATATCTTTACCAAGGCACTTCAGCCTTGTGATCATCAGCGCTTTTGTACGATGCTAGGTCTTGTGCCTACTTTGCCTCACTTGCTCACTTCTTGACCTTGCTTGTACTGTGATCTATCTATACCTGCACTTGCTTGTTTACCTTTATATATAATCTTGCATGTGAACTGGCCTTGTGGCCTTGATCTGGTTCTCGGAATGTGTGGTGACGTTGTGATCCACCCTGAGCTTGCTGTGCTTTGCTTGACTGGTCTTCTGACCTCTTGTTCTCCCCCACTTTGCCTATGGGGGTGTGTCAAGTTTATATGCTATGGTCTATCTAGGCTGTAGTGGGGTAGATACTATAGGGTACAACATTTCTAGGTTTTCTACTTGTACCCACATTTCACCTAGTCATTCATTCCTCGTTCTTTCACAATTCGAACGAGTTAATCGACCTCTTTCCACTACGCTTCGAAAACATTCACCACAGGGACTGGAAACACCCTGACGGAAGACCATGGGTACCACATCATACTCACCCATGCGAACTGGTGCTGCACGATCCTAACCCAGACGGCATCTGCAAGGATTGCCACACGCCCACATCATCAACAAGCGCGATCGCCGGCCGCGGCCTCGCCTTCATCGCCGAAGCAGAGCGATATGCACCGCCAGAACTACTACACAACGGTTTTCCCCTTGCGACGGAAGGCCAACGTGCCTACCATTCTCGAGCTTTATCTACTAGCGAGGGGTGGCGCTCAGGGCTTGTGTGGGCTCCGTGTACACTCGTACTGTGGTGTTGAGATTTCTTCCACTCGTTTGGAGACGTTCTGTTAGGTTTGGGGGATCATCCAGTCTTACATGCTACAAGACTTGCCGCAGCAGAACGAGGTAGCCAAGCGATGCCTTGGCCTGGTCATGGAGGTTGCCCAGACCTCCATGTGCCATGCTAGTGCCCCTCAGTTCCTCTGGCTCAGAAGTCTGCTACGCCGTGCACCAGCTGAGCCTGTGGCCCATTGTTGCACGGCCACGGGTGACGCTGGATCCCTTTGGACAGGTTCTTCGGGCGTAGCAGCTGACTTCTGTAGGATGCACGTCATTCTGAGTGCATGTCATCCTAACGTCATGCAGAGTGCTCGTGCTATTCATGCATGCATTGTTTGCATGAGCATTTGTCATTGTGCATGGCTGTTGGATTTTACCATCTCTGTGTTTTCTCCAATTTTAAATGCTTGATCATGCAGGAGAAATCCAGAGCTTTCCAACGATACCAAGATCGCCCAAGTTACAAGATTTCCAAGACTTGGATTTCTTATTACCTTTTGGGGTTATATATAATTTGGGTGATTACTTGGGACATGACTATAAATGGATCTTTGGTTGGGTGGTTAGGAAATGCAACTTTGACTTTTGGATTGGGGTGGCTAGAAGTTTCTAGCATGGGTTGCAAATGTTGCAACACCTAGACAAAATCCAACTAGATTGGATTTTGCATGTGACACCTCAAGGACCTCATGATGAGGGTTGGATCCTTGCTGCTAGGAAGGTTCACACCATCCTTCCCTAGCCTTTGGAGAGCCCCTTCCCTCTCATGGTTCTCTTGGAGTCCCTATATTCCTTGGTAACTCCAATATTCTATACCCTAATGCTTGTACTTTCTCCACCATTCTAGTCATGCGACTGCTGGACGTTTTTACTTGGTTCTCACTCTATAGACTATCTTAATGCCTGATTCAACTTGGAGATGGTAGCTAAGCCTACACCGCAACTTCCTACTGAGCGGATTTGCATTTAGTTGAGTAATGATTTCTTTGTAAGCTCTTAAAGTGACGGATCCTGAACAACAAGTGGTATCAGTGTCAGAATCCCAACCACTAGACCATTGGGATAAAAGGGCTTGTTTCAGTAGCGGGTCAGTGCGCCCATAACCCCCCAGGCGAACGCGCCTGTAACCCTCTCCAGGATCAATCGGGCATCCACAGTGCAGATCTACTGACAATCAGAGCGGGTAGTCGACTTTGAGACGACGAATCATCGTGAATTATCAGCCAATGTTGACGAGTGAGACCATTTTGTAGTAGCTCTGCTGGCGAAAGTTTGATTGGTGGTCAAACTGCGTTCTAATTCGAAGGATCCAGTCTGCGACGACGATTTTCGTAGAATTGAAATTTCTGGCAGAATTCTCTCCAAACGATTTCTCAAGTTTCCACCGTTCATAAGGCCTCAATATTGTTGGTACGAACTCCGGTGGTGCTAGTGGCAAGATAGTAGAGAGGCTGGAGAGCAAGGGGGAGTTGCTGGTGGAGGAGTGGGGACTCACCAACCAGCCAACCCTACGCTACCCTAAACTTATACACCATCTCCTACAACCGTGGATCCTGTGAAGGCTTTCTCTATTGAAAATTCATGGGGGAGGACTACGAGCACTGGAGCTTCCGCATGAGGCTGATGTACACCCAAAACAAGCTATTGGATCTGGTAGAGGGGAAGGAGAAGATGCCGGAGGCCGCGGAGTTGAAAGGAGCGTGGATGAAGCGATCGTTCGACGCGTACATGCTCATGGTGCAAGCGGTTGGCGGACGACAACTTGACCACATAAAGAACCTTTTGGGTGATCCAGAGTGTGACCCCAAGGCTTGGAGGAAGCTTCTAGATGTGCACTCACCGACACATGCTACCGGCATCGTGCTACTCGCGCGGCGGCTGCGCGACATCAAGTTCGTTGATGGAGAGCCGATGCAACCGGTGTTGGATGAGATGTGGGACATCTTCACGAAGCTACAAGGTGGCAGTGTGGTGTACTTGGAGCTCGTGCAATGCGTGGAGATCGTAATATGGCTGCCGGAGTCGTGGTCCGCCCTTGCGTTCAACCTCAACTCTCAACAGCCCCAGTGGAGCGTGGATTACATTCGCGCGCGCATCCTAGAGGAGGACTTGTGGCGGCGGAGTGTGGAGCGCTCGGAGGAGGGGGCTGGCTATGGAGTTGGAGGTGGAAAGAGTGGCTTCAAGAAGAATTGGAAGGGCAAAAACAAGGACAACCCTAAAGAAGATGGCGGCGGGGGTCAAGGAGAGGTGCGCTTCTACTGCAAGAAGCGCGGACATCGTTGGCGGAAGTGCTACCAACGACCCAAGGATTGGACCCCGCTTTCATCAAGCAACCAGCATGGTGGCAAGAGGAGTGGGGGAGTTATGGGAGCTGATGGAGAGGAGAAGGATGAGGAGAAAGGTGGCAAATCTGAGGAGCGGAAGGCCGAGTTCTTCTTCTTCGTGAACGGAGGTGCAACCGACCTGGCTATGGCTGCCAAGGTTCTCCTACACCCCCTTACCCATTGGGTGATTGACTCAGGAAGCTCCTGGCATATGACTCCTCGTGCAGACCTACTCGATGAGATTCAGCCCGCACCCATCTCTACGGTCACATCCGTGACGGGCGCCAAGGCCAAGGTCATGGGCATGGGGTGCACCAAGTTCATGGGAGCGGATGGAGAGCTCGTAGGGCTGAAGAACGTGCTGTGGGTGCCAGACTTGTACGCGAACCTGATTTCTATCGGCCGGTTGGGAGATGCGGGTGTGAACACCGAGACGATTGGCTCGGAGCGCTATCGTGCCTACAACGACGAGCGGCTGATTTGGGACCTGCAGTGGAAGGGAGATGTCCACAAGCGCATGTGGCAGATCCCGGTCCTCCCTTGGCGGAAATCAGGCAAAGCGGCAGCAGCGGCATCTATGGAGGAGAGTGTCACCGAGGAGGAGCAGCAAGATGTGCAAGGAGAGGAGCTGATTGGAGGAAGCGCGGCAGTGAAGGCGTCGGCTACCTCGGCCCAAGCGGATTGGGATACTTGGGATCGGCGGCTCGCACATGTGGCTGTATCTACATTGGAGGTGATGCACAAGGAGAAGTGCGTGCATGGGCTGCAATTGCAAGGAGATGGCGCTCACTATGGCAGCTGCGAGGCGTGCATGCAAAACAAGTTTGCGCGGTTCCCGTTTCCACGTGCGGAGGGATCAGCGAAGGCGCCACTGGAGGTGGTGCACATGGACCTGGTGGGTCCTATGAGGACTAAGGGGACTGGGGGAGTGCTGTACTTCCTCACCATGGTGGATGAATGGAGCAAATTCACATGGGCTCGTCCCCTGTCCAAGAAGAACAATGCTGCAGCGACGATCAAGGAGGATTGGTTGCCGATGGTGGAGCGGCAAGCGATGCGGCTGGTGAAGGTGCTGAGTAGCGACCGTGATGGAGAGTTCCTTGGAGCTGAATTCACCAAGTTTCTCAAGAGGAATAGCATACGGCACCCGCTGACCTGCCCTCGAACACCGCAGCAGAACGGCATTGTCTGAATCCCAACCACTAGACCATTGGGATAAAAGGGCTTGTTTGTGTAGCGGGTAAGTGCGCCCATAACCCCCCAGGCCAACGTGCATGTAACCCTTCCCTAGGATCAATCGAGGATCACCAGTGGACCTCTGACACCCCCCCGCACTCGGATGCCCGAAGTGCACACACCGGGATTCGAACCCGAGACCGTCACTCTGATACCATGTCAGAATCCAAACCACTAGACCATTGGGATAAAAGGGCTTGTTAAGTAGCGGGTCAGTGTGCCCATATCCCCCCAGGACAATGAGCCTGTAACCCTTCCCTAGGATCACTTGGAGATCACCACTGGACCTCTAACACCCCCCCCGCACTGGGATGCCCGAAGTGCACACACTGGGATTCGAAGTCGAGACCTTTGCTCTGACACCATGTCAGAATCCCAACCACTAGACCACTGGGATAAAAGGGCTTGTTAAGTAGCGGGTCAGTGAGCCCATAACCCCCCAGGCCAACGTGCCTGTAACCCTTCCCTAGGATCAATCGAGGATCTCCAGTGGACCTCTGACAAGACTCTGGACACCCGCTTGGCCTAGGCTACTAAGCCTAAGCCCGTTAGTTAAACCCATTCCTAGCTAAGTTCGTCTCGTGACATGGTATCGAGCGGTTATTTTCCTAAGGACCAAATTTTTATGGGCCCACCGCTAGCCTCTCGCTATGGCGTGCCCCGTTGCGCGGCCCGTAGCGTGCCTCGTGAGTGCTTCCTTGCCACAGCCCGTCGCCCACGCGCTACCCGCTGCTTCTGCCCGTTGCCGACGCGCTACCCGCTGCTTCTGCCCGTCGCCAACGCGCTACCCGCAACTGCATCCCGCCGCCCGTGCGATATCTGCTGCTGCAGCCCGTCGCCCGTCCCGTCACACTGCCGCCCGTCGCCAGATCCCCGCCACGCGTACGCTCTCCGCTGCCCGTCGCCAGGTCCCCGCTTGCCCTCCCGTCAACTTTGCAACTGCTGTGAAGGGAGTGGTGGGAGTGGCGGGAGAAGCTGCTGCTACGCCCTTGCACGCGCCAGATCGTCCGCGAGCCGCACCCCGCACCCCGCCTGTCGCCCGTACTCCACCTGCACCCCACACCCCGCCTGCCGCCCGTGCGCCACCCGCATCACGCACCCTGCCTGTCGCGCGTACACCATCCGCACCATGCACGACATCCGTGCCCCCATCCGCGAGACCGTCCGCACCCCGTACCTGCACCCAGACCGCCGTTCTGCCCCAGATCCCGCCCCCCCCCCACCGACAACTGCCACCCCACCCCCATCTCCAGCTCCGTTTCCAGCGGGAAGGGGAGGAGGTGTGGCCCGAAGGGGACGGCTGGGGGAGGGGGAGTGGCGGGGTTGGCGGCTCATGTAAGGGGGAGGTTGAGGGGGTGGGTGATCCATCTGCAGCTACTGCCGCCACACCTCCCCCTCTCTCTCTCCGCCGCTCCTGGATCAGGGGGTGTGGGTGGGTGAGTCCAGCTGCAGCACCAGCCGCCCCCTCCTCCTCTTTCTCACTCCTGCTGCTGTTGGAGGGGAGGTTGAGGGGGTGGGTGATTCAGCTGCAGCACCTACCGCCACTACACCTCCACCTCTCTTTCTCCGTCAATGCTGCTGTTGGGGGAAAGGTTCAGGGGGTGTGGGTGGTGAGAGTTCATATGCAGCATCAGCCGCCTCCTCCTCTCATCCCCTGCCCCGTACCTCCCGTATTGCCCGTACTTCCCCGTGCTTGCCCCGTGCCCGTGCTCGTGCTGTCTGCCCCGTGTTCCCCGTGCTTGCCTCATGCCCATGCCCGTGCTGCCCCCGTGTTCCCGTGCTGCTCCCGTGCTGTCCCCGTGTTCCCGTGCTACCCCCGTGTTCCCATGCTGCCCCCGTGCTGCCCCGTTCTGCCTGTGTTGTGCCCGTTTTTGTGCCGTGTTGCCCCGTTCAGCCCTTGTCCTGCCCTGTTCTGCCTGTGCTGCTCCGTTGTCCCCGTGTTGCCCCGTTCTGCCCATGTTGCCCCGTTCAGCCCGTGTCCTGCCCCGCTCTGCCCGTGTTGCCCCGTTCTGCCCGTGTTGCCCCGTTCAGCCCGTGTCGTGCCCCGTTCAGCCCGTGTTCTGCCCCGTTCAGCCCGTGTTCTGCCCCGTTCTGCCCGTGTTCTGCCCCGTCTGCCCGTGTTGCCCCGTTCATCCCGTGTCCTGCCCCTTTCAACCCGTGTTCTGCCCCGTTCTGCCCGTTTTGCCTCGTTCAGCCAGTGTTCTGCCCCGTTCTGCCCGTGTTGCCCTGTTCTGCCGGTGCTGCCCTGTTCTGCTCGTTTGTGCCCTACACGTGCTGTCCGTACCCATTGGTGCCCCACCCGTGCTGTCAGTTCTCGCTCGTGCCCCACCCGGTCTGTGCTGCTCGGTCTCGTGCTGCCCGTCACCCCCGTGTGGCCCGTCCCGTACAACACCTAGTTGCTACTCGAACCCGCTACCCGTACCCGTGCTCCTCGTACACCGTGCACCTGCTCCGGGGCGTTCAACCGTAGCCGGGCACATGTTCCACCGCGGTGGTTAAGGTGCTGCTTGGTGGTTGCTGCTTGTCAGCTTCAGAGGGGGCCCCTTGCTGGTGTTCCCACGCCCTGTAATGGGGTTTTACAGGTGTGCCCCTTCAAGGGGGGCTCTGCACATGGTTATGCACTTCAGGTAGATAGGGGGTGTGTCACAATAGATTTATATCAATTTAGTATAATCTGCCTGTAGTGTAGCTGTTGTGTAATTCCCTTGTATGGTGGTGCACCTCTTTCACCTTTGTTAGGTTGCTATATGTACTCGTGTGCTATAGTGAACCCCCAACCACTCTCGATTCAAAAAAAAAAAAAAAAAAGGTGTCAGAGGTCGACTGGTGATCTCCGAGTGATCCTAGGGAAGGGTTACAGGCTCGTTGTCCTGGGGGGTTATGGGCGCCCTGACCCGCTACTTAACAAGCCATTTTATCCCAATGGTCTAGTGGTTGGGATTTTGACATGGTATCAAAGCGAAGGTCTTGGGTTCGAATCCCGGTATGTGCACCTCGGGCATCCCAGTGCGGGGGGGTGTCAGAGGTCCACTGGAGATCCCCGATTGATCCTAGGGAAGGGTTACACGCACGTCGGCCTAGGGTGTTATGGGCGCACTGACCCGCCACTGAAACAAGCCCTTTTATCCCAATGGTCTAGTGGTTGGGATTCTGATAGGGTATCAGAGCGAAGGTCTCGTGTTCGAATCCCGGTGTGTGCACCTCGGGCATCCCAGTGCGGGGGGGTGTCAGAGGTCCACTGGTGATCCTCGATTGATCCTAGGGAAGGGTTACAGGCATGTTGGCTTGGGGAGTTATGGGCGCACTGACCCGCTACTTAACAAGCCCTTTTATCCCAATGGTCTAGTGGTTGGGATTCTGACATGGTATCAGAGCGAAGGTCTCGGGTTCGAATCCCAGTGTGCGCACTTCGGGCATCCCAGTGCGGGGGGGTGTCAGAGGTCCACTGGAGATCCCTGATTGATCATAGGGAAGGGTTACAGGCACGTTGACCTAGGGGGTTATGGGCGCACTGACCCGCTACGAAACAAGCTTTTTTATCCCAGTGGTCTAGTGACTGGGATTCTGACAGGCATTGCTGAGCGCGCCAACCGGACCATTGGCGAGGCGGCTAAGACTCTGTTGGGGGCTGCCGAGATGCCCTACAAGTTCTGGCCTGACGCCATTCGCCATGTCATCACGGTCAAGAACAGGGTCTTGACGCATGTTGGCGACAAGCATTGGGCGCCGTACGAGCGTTGGCTTGGGAAGAAGCCATGCATTGACATGCTGCGGGTGTGGGGCTGAATGGGGTTTGTGACGGTGCCTAAGGAGCAGAGGCATAAGTTGGAAGTTGCTGCTGTGTGGGCTGTCCATCTTGGGATGGCTCCTGACTCGAAGGGGTGGCTGATGTGGGACCCCAAGAGCAAGAAGACGCTGGTCAGCCGCGACGTCAAGTTTGTGGAGGACGTCATGTACAAGGACTAGCAGCAGCAGCAGCAGCAGGTGCAGATTGGCTTGCATCTTCAGGAGATTGAGCGGTCTGCAGTGGAGGAGGTTCAGCTGCACCTTGAGGATCTCCCTGGGTCAGAGCTGACCAGTGACCATAGTGGCGGTGGTGAGCAGCAAGGTGCTGGTCCTGCTGTGGAGGAGGGGTTGGAGGATGAGTTGGCACGTGTGGACTTATCAACTCAGCCTGAGCCTGCTGCAAACGCCAAGGTCACCAAGAGGAGTGTGCAGAGAGGAGCTTCACCACATGGGCAGCAGAGTGCAACTCGCGAGAAGAGAGTGGCAGCAGCACCCTCAAGGCTGAAGTATAGCCGTTTGGGAGGACCCAAGCAAGGTGCCATGGCGGTTCAGGCGGATGAGGGAGAGGATGAGGAGATGGCGTTCTATTTCTTCACACCCTTGCCTGGAGAACCAGCCACAATGGACGAGGCACTCAGTGGACCCCAGAAGGAGGAGTGGAAGGCTGCCATGTGTCAGAATCCCAACCACTAGACCATTGGGATAAAAGGGCTTGTTTCAGTAGCGGGTCAGTGCGCCCATAACCCCCCAGGCGAACGCGCCTGTAACCCTCTCCAGGATCAATCGGGATCTCACAGTGTAGCTCTACTGACACCCCCCCCCACACTGGGAGGCCCAGGACTGAGCACAGTGGCAACGGCCAACATGTGCATACACCGGGATTCGAACCCGAGACCGCTCTGATACCATGTCAGAATCCCAACCACTAGACCATTGGGATAAAAGGGCTTGTTTCAGTAGCGGGTCAGTGCGCCCATAACCCCCCAGGCGAACGCGCCTGTAACCCTCTCTCTCTTTGACCTTACCTCTGGCGCTTCCCCTGCCCCTGCTGCTGATGCTGACCCTACTGTTCGCTCCCAGTGGGCTACGCGCGATGCTGCTGCACGTCTTGCTGTGCGTCGCCACCTCCCTACCTGTGAGCGTGCGCACTTTAGTCAGTACAAGAGTGCTCAGACCTTGTACGGCGCTGTAGTTGCGCGCTACTCCTCCCCTGCCACTGCTGCACTGAGCCGCCTCATGCTACCCTTCCTCTTCCCTGACCTTGCCGCCTTTCCCACAGTCGCTGATCTCATTACGCATCTCCGCACTAGTGACACCCGCTACCGCGCTGCGCTTCCTGCTGACTTCTGCGCCAAGAACCCCCCCCCCCATGTACATCACTCTCTACTTCCTAGTCACCCGCCTTCCCGACTCCCTTCGTGTAGTCCGGGACCACTTCCTCGCGGTCTGTCCCACCACTCTCACAGTCGACAGCCTAGAGAAGGCCCTCCTAGCGGCGGAAAAGAGCATCGTCGCTGTAGGAGCCTCTCGAGGAGACCCCCGCGCCCCCATCTTTGAGGGGTGTTCTCCTTCCCCTCTCTTGCCCTCTGTCGCCCCTGCCGCTGCGGCCGACCTCGTTGGTCTTGAGTCGGTCGGTGCGGCGTCTGCCCCTAGTGGGAGACGTCGCCCTGGCAAGGGCAAGGGGGGCAAGGGAGCGGGTGGGGCTAGCGGGGGCGGTGGCGGTGGAGGTGGAGGCGGCGGAGGGAGTGGGGGTGGCGGTGGAGGAGGTGGCGGGGGTGGGGGTGCTAGTGGCAGCAATGGTGGCGGAGGCGGCGTCGGCGGCAGCGGTACCGGCGGGGGTGGCGGCGGTGGCGGAGGTGGAGGAGGTGGAGGAGGAGGTGGTGGAGGTGGTCGGAGTGGCACTTCACAGCGGAGCGGCACTGGGGGTGGTCAGCGCCAGCAGCGGCAGCAGCAGCCGCAGCGTTCTCGCGACGTCCCCACCCCTCAGCAGCTCCGTGAGTGGTACACGCAGCGTCAGCGTGGTGGGGGACTTGGTCCCTGCACCTACGTCCTTCGCACCGGCGACCGCGCGGGTGAGCAGTGTGGGGGTGCCCACCCCACCCAGCGCTGTTTTGGCCGCCTGACGGACGCTTGGCGTCAGCAGTTTCGGGAGGCCACGGAGATCCCCCGCTGGGGAGAGCTGTCTAGGGCCGGCGTGGCTATCTTTGATCTTGACTTTGATGCTATCCTTGCTGCCATGTATGCTGTGACTATTAGTGATGAGGGTGACTGTTACCGGTGTTTCCTGCCCGACCCGGGCATTGGTACTGCTGCGCTAGGTGCTTGTGAGGCTACTGCTCTAGGTGCCAGTGCGTCTGTGCTCTCAGGTACTAGTGAGGCTGCGCTCTCAGGTACTAGTGAGGCTGCGCTCGCAGGTACTGCGTCGGCTTCGGCCTCCCTCACCTTCACACTTGATTCAGGGGCTTCTCGCTCCTTCTTTCGAGACCGCACCACACTCACGCCGCTTGGTCGGCCGGTTGCAGTCTCCCTGGCGGACCCCTCTGGGGGTCCTGTCCTCGCTCACTTCTCCACTGTCCTTCCGTGTCCGGCTGCCCCCTCGGGCACCCTGTCGGGTCTGTACCTCCCCTCGTTCTCGACGAACTTGGTGAGTGGTGCTGACCTGCAGGATGCGGGGGTTCACCAGTTTACTCCTGCGAGTCAGCGGGGGACCCACTGCTCAGACGCCCGCACAGGCCGACACCTAGCCACGTTTTTGCGTCGGCCCGGGTCGAGTCTCTACACCCTGACCATTGAGTCTCCTCCAGTCCCTGCGTCTGGCCAGGTAGCTGCGTCGGGTCAGGTGTTTGCTGCTGCGTCCAGGTCTGGTCCAGAGTCTGCCCCCTGCTCGTGTCGCCTCCTGTCTCACGAGACTCTCTTGTGGCACCTTTGTCTTGGCCACCCCTCCTTGCCTCGTCTTCGGGGCATGGCTTCCCGTGTCCTTGTCTCTGGTCTCCCCCGGTCTCTCCCTCCCCTTCCTTCGGGGCCAGGACCTTCCTGTGTCCCTTGTGTCGAGGGGCGGCTCCGGGCTGCCCCTCACTCCTCCCAGTTTCCCCCGACAGAGGCTCCTCTGCAGACGCTTCACATGGACGTGTGGGGCCCGGCCCGCGTCTGTGGACAGGGTCACGAGCGCTACTTCCTGCTGGTGGTTGACGACTACTCGCGTTACACCACAGTCTTCCCCTTGCGCAGCAAGGGTGATGTCACTGAGGTGTTGATCGACTGGATCCGCGCGGCTCGTCTCCTGCTCAGGAGGAGCTTCGGCTCGGACTTTCCTGTTCTGCGTCTGCACTCTGACCGAGGCGGAGAGTTCTCCTCTGGCCTTCTGCGAGCCTACTGTCGTGCACGAGGCATCCGCCAGACCTTCACGCTTCCGGACTCTCCACAGCAAAATGGGATTGCTGAGCGCCGCATTGGCATGGTCATGGACGTCGCTCGTACGTCCATGATGCATGCGGCTGCCCCCCATTTTCTGTGGCCGTTTGCGGTTCGGTACGCGGCGCATCAGCTCAACCTTCACCCCAGGGTCTCCCGGGCAGAGACCTCCCCAGCTCTGCTGTGGACGGGGATGGTCAGCGATGCGTCTGCGTTCCGTGTCTGGGGATCTCGGGCGTTTGTCCGCGACTTGTCTGCGGACAAGCTGTCCCCTCGTTCTGCTCCCTGTGTCTTCCTAGGCTTCCCCCCTGACGCCCCAGGGTGGCAGTTCTACCACCCCTCCTCTCGTCGTGTTCTGTCCTCCCAGGACGTCACGTTTGACGAGTCCGTCCCCTTCTACCGCCTCTTTCCCTACCGCACTCCTTCCCTCCCGCCGCCGCCGCACTTCCTTGTACCAGGTCCCCCCCCGGTAGACCCCCTTCCCCCTCAGGGTCCTGCCCCTTCAGGTGTGTCCCAGGTCGATGCAGTCGAGCCGGTCGAGGTTGCTGGTGACTCAGGTACTGCTGGGGGTGCTGAGCCTGGGGGTGCTGACTCTGGGGGTGCTGAGCCTCGGGGTGCTGAGTCTGGGGGTGCTGAGCCTGGGGGTGTTGAGCCTGGGGGTGCTGAGCGTGGGGGTGCTGACTCTGAGGGTGCTGCGCGCGTGGGTGCTGAGCCTGGGGGTGCTAAGCCTGGGGGTGCTGCGTCTGGAGCTACTGAGCCTGGAGGTGTGGAGCCTGCGGCCACTGGACCTCCCCTTGTGGCGTCTAACGGTACTGGGCCTGGAGGTTCTCCGGGTGTTTCGTCTCGGCGGGAGCCACTCTCTCCACAAGAGCTGCGTGAGTGGTTTGCTCGCCACTGGAGGCGTACTGCTGGAGCTGGCGCTTCTTCGGCCGCTGAGGGTGCTGGTGCCGCCGGTCCCGGAGCTGCTGGGCCTGCGGGTCCGCCTGGAGCTGGAGCTGCTGAGGGTGTTGGTTCTGAGACTACTACTGTACGTCCTGGTGGTGGTCGTGCTGCGGGTACTGCTAGCGCTACTGGAGGTCCTGCCGCTGGAGGTGCTGAGGGTGCTGGTGCTGTCCCTGCTGTGTCTGGTGCCGCCGCGTGGCCTCGGCCGTACTTCGTTCCGCTCCTTCAGCAGGTTCTTGGTCTTCCTCCTCTCTTAGAGGGTCCACCGCCTGTCCAGTCGCAGTCACAATTACCGCCGGCCTCCCCACTGCCTTCTCCGTCTCCGTACACTGGTCCTACTGGTGGTCTTGCTGAGCGTCGTGAGCCTGCGTCTCGTCCTGCGTCGCCTGTTCGTGCTGCTCGCACTAGTGGTCGCAGTTCGCGTCAGCGTCCTCCTCCTGTCCCTGGCACGCACCGGATGTCTTTGCGTCCGTCCACTGCTCCTCTGCGTGCCCCTTTGCCCTCTCCTCCTGAGTCCTTTCTTCCTGCGCTTGCCGACCCTGAGTCGGACTCTCTTCGTGCTGCCAGTCCTACTGTCACATGTCTCCTTGCTACTGTTGTCACTGACCCCTCCTTTGAGTCCACTGCTGCGTCTGCTCTTGTTGCTGAGCTCGTCGACTTCGCTGCTCGCTGTTGTCTAGACTACGCTGCTAGTCTTGTTGCTAAGTCTGCGTCTGTCTGTCCTCCGTCTGTCGGGAGTGAGTGTGCTCTTGGCACGGACGTCCTTGAGGACAGGTAGGAGGAGTTTCAGTGTCTGGCTGCTGCTTCACCTCATCTCGCGTCTGTACTGCTTGCCCCTAGACAGGTAGGGAGACCCGGATGCACTAGACATCCCGACTCCGCGCTCTTACGCGGAGGCCGTAGAGGGTCCCTACTCCTCTCAGTGGCAGGCAGCTATGGATGCAGAGATGGCTTATTGGAAGTCCACAGGCACCTACGTTGACGAGGTTCCCCCTCCTGGGGCGAACATTGTCAGTGGGATGTGGATCTTCAGGGTGAAGCGGCCGCCGGGCTCTCCACCTGTCTTCAAGGCGCGGTACGTGGCTCGTGGCTTCAGTCAGCGGAAGGGAGTTGACTACTTTCAGACCTTCTCTCCCACCCCGAAGATGACCACTCTTCGGGTGCTGCTGCACATAGCCGCTCAGCGCGACTACGAGCTCCACTCTCTTGACTTCAGCACTGCTTTCTTGCAGGGTAGCCTGCACGAGGAGATCTGGCTGCGCCGTCCACCTGGCTTCATTGGGACTTTCCCTCCTGGCACCCAGTGGAGCCTCCGACGGCCAGTCTACGGTCTCCGCTTG